GGATGGGCAGGTGGTCGCTGTCCTTGCCCAGTCGTTGAGCTGCGGGTGTAAGTGCTTGAGAACTGAGTGAGTGATAACGGTGACTTTTATTCAAGTCCAGAGAAGAAGAGCCCTTCTGGGCTGAGTGACTGGGCCTCAGGACTTTCTGATCTAGGATCCAGGGCTGGTGGGGGCGGGGGAGGGGGAGTTGAGGCCTGGAGATGCTCAGTGCTGCTCTGGGCTGACGCAAACTCTGGAGAGCAATGGCGCAGCCAGCATCGCACCCCCTTTCAGGGCAGGGGGACCAGGAAGCTGCCTTCACCCTCATGCCCCATGCAAATGGCAGGGACCAAGGTGTCTGCATAATCAGCAGAAACAGAGAGGAAGGGGATGAGGGAGGCGCCCTGGTAGCAGCGTACACCCACATCTCATCAGATACCCGGTTCTGGGAGGCGGGTGATGGTGAGCTCCCAGGGAGACTGGGGCAAGACTTGCCGGGCTAAGGGCAGGGCCAGGCGTCCAGCCGGGGGCGAGATACAGAAAGGCCAAGGTCTTCCCACCATGCCACCCGCCTGGTGGCAGAGCCCTGTATGGGCCATGCTCCTACGGAGCAATTAGGATGTAGGGTTTGTGCACAGAAAACGAGGCCTGTCTTTCTAGGCTGGCCTCCCTGGGCTCAGCGCGAAGACGGATTTGAACGTCTTGCTGCCTGATGCCTCTTAGATGCAGTGCAGCCGTCTCGCTGGCCGATCGAATCCTGGAATCATTTGATTGCCATTGTGCCTTTGGTGAAGCTCTAGCACAAAGACTGCAGTTAAAGAAATAATACTTTAAAAATGGTGGGACCAGGGGCCGTATGTTTGGGCCGTGCTCTGGGCTACTTGCCAATATTGTGTTGACATTTATGCCAGAGAAATGTCTGTTCGGACTGGGAGTCCATCAATGTATTCACACTCCGAGACAGTCAAACACAGAAAGGTCACGCAGGAAGCGCCGACGGTATGAAATTTTAGGAAAGTTGACCCAGCACTTATCCGCCGGATCCCAGAGGGTCGGCGGGAGACTCGGGGCGAAGCCTTAAGGAAACACAAAGCAGTCGCCAGATGTCCCTCGCGGTTTTGTTTTGCAGAATCGGCTACCCAATTCCAATGTTTGTGGGATTCTGCATCATGTTCGTCTCCACGATTAGTAAGTGCCTCGTGTTTGCCTTTGGAGCGTGGGTCGCGGGAAGGGTTCTGGTGGCCGTGAGCCCGGAGTTGAGAACACAGATCCCGGGCGGGGGCAGGGAGGTTGGTAAAAACGCAGAAAGAAATCCATAGAGGGGGGTCTTTGTGGGCAGAAACAGTGTGGTTACTATGGAAACAAACCTTTGGGCAGCCGGCCTGCCCTGACCCGGCCCGGCCTGGCCCTTCTCCCCGCAGTGTTCGCCTTCTCCAGGAGCTACGCCCTCTTGCTGATCGCCAGGTCGCTGCAGGGCATCGGCTCCTCCTGCTCCTCGGTGGCTGGTAGGTGTGGGCGCCTGAGTAAGTCCGTGCCCGGGGGTCTGCAGTCTGTCCCAGGGGCCACCAGCAGTGCCCCATCGCCTGCCCCTCACCTTGCGAGCTGGATAATTCAGGGAATCGAGGTTTCGGGGGTGGTGACTGGCTGTGGGCTTGTGGAGAGGGTCCCCGTCTCCTCGTTAGACCCTTCTTGGTCTGACGTTTTCATGAACCTCATGGGCTTGGGTCGCTCCCAGGTCCGGGTTGGGGAGGGAAGGCGAGTCACGGATAATCCATTCAACCCTTTCCTTTGCTGTGCAGGGATGGGCATGCTTGCCAGCGTGTACACAGATGACGAGGAGAGAGGCAACGCCATGGGGATTGCCCTGGGCGGCCTGGCCCTGGGGGTCTTAGGTAGGTAAGGTCCATGTGGAGGCGCGCTGGCAGCCTGTCTGCGCTGGACAGCGACAGTCCTTCCTCCCTCATTCCCTAACTGTCCCTTTTCGTTCCCTACTTTCGGGGAGCCTTCCTGACAGGGGAGGCCCTGGGCTCCCCCTGCCTCTACCCCCAGACTTGCTGGGGAACCTTGGGAAACCAGCCCCAGACCCCCCCGGGCCCAGACGTACAGGAGGCTTGACCAGGATGGTCTGCCAGGATCCTTCCTCTCCGCTCAGACGGCTCTGGGTTAATGCTGAGAGGACCTCCCCAACTCTGAGTCTGCCCCCCACCCCAGATTGGCCTCCTAGACCAGGGGCAGTATCTTCCCCGCCAGAGATGGGGTCCCCTCCCTTTCCTCTGTTACATTCCCCCCTTCCCCGGAGCCCGCAGTCCCTGTCCTGGTGCTTAAGGGATGAAGTCCTCGCCAACCGGGATCTTGTTCCCTCTGACCTTAACTTTGGGGTGACCCGTCGGGTCTCTTGCCCATGTCCCAGATGTGGAACCGCTGGGAGGAAGTAGCCAGGGCACTTCACACCACTGGATGTAGGGTAGGGTGGCCACCGCCAAGAGCTTTCAGAACAAAACGGAGAGCGAAGCACAAGAAACCAGCGGACGGTCCTTGTGAGGTGTGTCTGAGTGACTCGCTCTCCACCTGGCAGTGGGCCCCCCCTTCGGGAGTGTGCTGTACGAGTTTGTGGGGAAGACGGCCCCGTTCCTGGTGCTGGCTGCCCTGGTGCTCCTGGATGGAGGTGAGTCCGCGCGGACCGTGGCCGCGGCCTGGGCACATGTGCTGACCGGGTCTCTGAGCCACGCCTCTTGTGTTTCTCCCGCAGCTATTCAGCTCTGCGTGCTCCAGCCGTCCCGGGTGCAGCCAGAGGTGAGCCTCGGGGGGCGGAGGGCGCTGCACCCGCCTCGTCCCCTCTTCTAACCCCCACTTTCTCCCCAGAGCCAGAAGGGGACGCCGCTGATCACTCTGCTGAAGGACCCCTACATCCTCATCGCCGCAGGTGGGGCTCCCCCCACTACCCAGGTCCTTCTCAGCCCAGGGGTGGGGGCGGATGGCGAGGACCCGAGTTCACTTAGCGGCTGGAAACGGGCTGTGCAAAGGCATAAAAGACACAAGGAGGGTCTACATCACAGAAATGGTTTCCTTCCGTCATTCGTTTCTGACGCTGGGCCAGCTGCAGGGCAGGGTAAAAGCATAGCCTTGGCTGGTCTAAATCATCCCGGCAGCCTTCGGGGCCCGGGGCTGTCCAGGTTGCCCTGAGTGGATTTAGGGGAGGGGGCATATAGTTTGGGGTATCAGAGCTAGATAATGAGGGGTCCAGGGTGTGGGCTCTGGATAGCAGGAGAGATGCAAACAGTGCCGGCAGTCAGTTTGGCTCTATAATTAATGTAAGTGGAATAGACAAACACAGAATCTAAGAAAACACAGATCGGGGACGGGGGGGTGGGAGTCTAGTCATTTCAGCATCGTTTCTGTGTTCCGCCTGTAAATGTCACAAAGACAGAAGATCTTTCTTCCTTCGTGAACACCTTAATCACGATTGCACAATGTTCTTTCGGTCAAGATTTTAGCAAATTAGAGGTCCGTCCGTTCCCCCACCCCCCACACCCCCCGCCGGGCACAGCACAGGGAGCTCTCAGGGACCAGTTCTGTGTGTCTTGGTCCAGATGGTTCTACGTTCCCAAAGGGTTCTGGTTATGAGAGTGACAACGGGGCATTTGCAAAGAGACCCTCGATGCGTAGTTGATTGAAAAGAAATCCCACAACAGCACGTCTGTACGGAATGCCCTGGATGCGGGGGCGTCCCACGGCTTCGATAGAAAGCTCGGTGCTCATTGCACAGTGGAATGTAGGTGCGGGGGCTCAGGCTGCCCGAGTCTGTGTGTGGTCTGTGTGCTGCTGTGTGACCTCACCCTAGTTACTCCATTGACGATTGGAACTCCCTTTCTTTCTTTCTTTGTTAATAAGTCAGGAAAGTTAAACCAGATGATCTTGCAAGTTGCCTCCAGTTCCAAACTTTATGACTCTGGGAATCTAGTTGTAATAATAATAATAATAATAATAATAATACTCTTCACTATCCCCTTGACCCATCATTTCTTTTCCTTACAAAAGTAGGGAAAGTTCTGGGTCTCCAGGCTGCCGGCGCTGGCTGTGGGCACGGGAGGTTTAGCTGTGTTTGGAGGTGGTGAAGGGACCCTGGGGCCCCAGACGCCCACTAACCCTCTTGCTCCCTTAAAGGGTCCATCTGCTTTGCAAACATGGCCATCGCCATGCTGGAGCCGGCCCTGCCCATCTGGATGATGGAGACCATGTGTTCCCACAAGTGGCAGCTGGGTAAGGCCTGGGACGGGCTCCTCTGAGTCTAGGACTTCATCCCCGGGGCGGGTCCATCACTGTCCCCCTGCCGAGCGGCAGGAGCCGGGGTGACTGAGTGGCTTTCTGTGAAACGCTTCATGGGGTCAGTGCTCAGGGGAGTGGCTTTGCCAAAGATGAGGAGCCGCTCCTCATGCCTCATTGCCAGCCCCAGCAGTGTCCCCAGACTTCCTTCCTCCCTGGTCCCCGTGGTAGTTGGGGCCCCAGGTGTTTCCAGGAGGTGGCTGAGTTTGGTGGCCGTGGCTGGGAGTGTCCTGCAGGGCTTGGCAGCCGCTTGGGCTGAGATGCTGTGCTGACGTTTTGATATCTTCACTTAATTGACTCAGGACCCTAATTGAGTGAGGCAGGCCCTGCACAGGGCACTTAAGCTGCTCTGTCCTCTCCCTCCAGACACAGCCTGGGGCTGGCTTTATTGTCTTTACAGTCAGCGAGGGGCCCCGGGCCATCGGGCTAGATCGCAGGCCGCCTCGGTTCCTCAGGAGACCTGGCGGGGCTCAGCACCCAAGCCAGACGGTCCCCTCCCCACTAGTGAGGTCACCCCTTCCTCTCTCAGAGAGAGACTTGGTTGTTCTAGAGAATCACTTGGCTACACCTGCTCTGCGCCATCTGCAGTGTGCTCTCCGCAGCCTGTGGCCACCTCTGCTGGAGCCTCGCAGGCCCCTCTGCGCCTTGGTGGGCGGGGCAGCCTGGGTGACAAGAGCGAGGACCCAGTGCCCAGCCCTTCCCCAGCCCCGGCTGCTCAGCCCCTCCCTGCTCAGGGTCCTGAGGGGGCTCACGGGAAGCCATTCTGCCCCGATGCCTCCCGGATCATTTCTGGAGAAAGATTGGAGATTTGAAATCAAAGCAACTTTCACGAGGTGTGCGCAGGGCTCAGAGTCAAAGCTGGTATACCCGATTTCAAGAAGAAACACGGGAGTTTTGAACTCTAAGCGTTGGAAAAGCCATCTTTCCGAAAGAGAGTTTCCTGTTGTCTTAATAGTGAATAGGGACGAGAGAGAGCTGACGGGGACAGATCCCCTGGCAGCAGAGCCTGGGCCGCCTTGGGCCAGCCTCCTGTTCGCTGCCGAGGGCACGGGCAAGGCCACACTGCCGCCAGCAGCTGGACATCAGCCTGGGCGCGCCCCCAGGTCACAAGGTCCTCCTCCTGGGAGAGCACTCAACCTTGGACCTTACAATTTCGGTCACCTACGACTTGGCCCCCAAAACGACCACATAGACATTTATCTTTTTGGCGTGGAAAGATGTTCGTAAAGCTGAAAAAAAGGGCGTAGAACAGTAGTTATAATCCCATTTTGGGGAGAAAAACCAAGTAAAATCCTGTGCGCACACATTTATGATGAACAGGTAAACTTGGCATGTTTATGGTTAAAGGGCCCTGACCAGGGATCGAACCCGCAGCCTTGGCATATCGGGATGATGCTCTAACAGCTGAGCTACCCAGCCAGGGCGCGTACACATAAACTTACAAGGGAAAATAACAGGGGGGTTATCCCAGGGATGGGTTTTGGGGTGATTTTAACCTTTTCGGGGTCCTTATCTTAATGTTCCCTAATTGCCTCCATGCCTGTTGTCTGTCTTCTGTCCTGCAAAACGGGGAAGGGGGTGTGGGGTGGCAGGTGCCCTGGCCTGACATTCCGGTGCCTCGGGTGTCGGTCCACGTGCAGAGCTCCCGCCAGGCAGAGATGGAGGCGCCGATAGAGAAATGAATTTCGTGTCTGCAGTGTCTCCGCAGCTTTGTGGACGGACGAGCCATGTGGGGTCCGGGCTGCCCCGCAGCCGCCGGATATTAGCTGCCCCGGTGCCGGCCGCAGGGCTGCGTTTCACCGGCTCTGATCGCCCCCACGGCGTCGGCGATGATTAGTTTTCCTAACATTCGGCCGCTATCAGTGCTGATAAGGTGTCCTTTTCATAATTTACAGGCGTTGCTTTCTTGCCGGCTAGTATCTCTTATCTCATTGGAACCAATATTTTTGGGATACTCGCACACAAGATAGGGAGGTAAGATGAAATGAACACAACACTCCCTGTCTTCTAATAATGCTGTTCTTTAAAAAAAAAAAATTCTGTTTCTGTCTGGGCAGTGACAAGCATTGTTGTGATTTCCATGGAAAATTTGGACTGGGGGACAAAAAGGCACATTTACTGATGGTGCGTTGTTGCTGTTTTCCATAGGTGGCTTTGTGCCCTGCTGGGAATGGTGATTGTGGGGACCAGCGTTTTATGGGTGAGTAAAAGACAGCATTGAACAAGTGGAGATGGTCAGTAAATAGGACTTTTGCTTTGGGCAAGAATCACCAAGAAATATTGTTTAGCAGTTTGAAGCTTGTTGATGAATGCGTTTTCTTACATCTTTCATTTTCTTCTAATTTTTTATTGTCATCTTAGAAATTTTGGACAAGACTCTCCGAGGGATATATTTTCATTTAATGCCAGTTGGAAGTTATTACATCGATATATGTCACCCACCCCCACCCCCATCACCTTAAACATTACAATGTCTTAAGCACTTTAGGGCGACTACCCTGGAATGCTAGCAAGATGCTTTTTTTCTAGAATAAAACACCATCTTCCTGTGGCCAATATCCTACCCCAAATGGGTTTTTGGGTCCTTGTCAGAAAGGGAGTGTGGACCAGGCCGATCTTTCGCGTCGGGAGCTGACTAGTGTTCATGGTGCTCACAAAACCCGTTTCAGCTCCAGCTGGGAAGATTGGAGGGTCTGGTTCTGCCCAAACCACGCCCCCGTTTCCTTCGAAGGGAACACACATACCCGGCTGGAGACAACATGTTTTGAAGACTTTCCAAGGTGACTTCGAGTTGCATGTCACGTGATTTCAGTGTAACATTTATTTCCTCTTACAGATCCCTTTTGCAAAAAACATTTATGGACTCATAGCTCCCAACTTCGGAGTTGGTTTCGCAATTGGTAAGTCACACGAGCCTGGTGCTTCGACTTAAAGCGGTTGTTTTTCCTCGTTGCTGAGAAGGTTTCCTCTCATTTGGGCCGATCCTAAACTTCGTAGAAGCTGGAGAGGAGGCTGCGGGCAGCCAAGCCCCAGTACAGCCTGTAGGTCGCCCACAGAAAAACGCCTGCTTCCCCCCACGCACTAGTCCTCTGTTTCCTGAAAGCCAGTATTTTTAAGAAGCCTGGTGTTTGCAGAAGCCGAGGCGCCACTGGCGCACCTGGGCAAACCAGAGCGTCCCCCACGCAGGGCCCAGATCTGAGAACAGACCTCAGGTGAGGCTGGGGGACCAGGCTTCACGGGTATTTTTCTGAGGTTCGGTACAGAAAAGTTGGACAGGTGTGGTGGTGACCACCTGTGCCGCAGGAATTTTCACGGGCAAACGAGACGAGTCTTTCTAACATGAACAATAAATTATACCTTAGGAAAATCCTGTTCATATTTTGGGTAAATGGTCCCCATTTGTTTCTCCTTTAGAACCTGTAGCTCGCTCATGATGCAAGTAAATGCTGAGTCGATCGTAGGGAAAGGCAGGCATTTGTTCTTTGGTAGAAAGAGAGCGGAGCCTTGGCTGACCCCTCGGACCAGGCTAGGTCCCCTGAGCGTAGAGGTGTCCTCTCACGCGCCTTCGTAGCATCGGTCCCCATTGGAATTCATTTTCAACTCTTCGTTTAACATCCAACTCTTTTGTTCTCCCCTGCGCCCCACACCTTGCGCATACTCGGTGGTCAGCAAATACCATTGAATGAAGGAAATTTCCCTCATCTTCCTGCCCCTGGTGCTTGGGGAGGTGAGGGGATGAGTGGTCTGCTGGGGGAATTCACAGATGCTGTCTCCCTAGCCCAGTGATGGTGAACCTATGACACGCGTGTCAGAGGTGACACGCGAACTCAGTTTTTTGGTTGATTTTTCTTTGTTAAATGGCATTTAAGTATATAAAATAAATATCAAAAATATAAATCTTTGTTTTACTATGGTTGCAAATATCAAAAAATTTCTGTATGTGACACGGCACCAGAGTTAAGTTAGGGTTCTTCAAAATGCTGACACGCCGAGCTCAAAAGGTTCGCCATCACTGCCCTAGTCAGTCATTGCCCATCCCCACGGGAGAGGTGGGCAACCGATGTTCAGAGAGAGAAGGCATGATCTCACTCACCCAGCCAGGGATTTGAACCCAGAACACGTGCTCTTTTTTCTTTTTAATATATTTTCATTTATTTCAGAGAGGAAGGGAGAGGGAGAGAGAGAGAGAAACATCAACGATGAGAGAACCATTGATCGGCTGCCTCCTGCACGCCCCCCACTGGGGATCAAGCCTGCAACCTGGGCATGTGCCCTGACCCAGAATGGAACCGCGCCTCCTGGTTCATAGACTGAAGATCTACCACTGAGGCACGCTGGCTGGACTGTACTCTTTCTTTATGCTTCCTGTCCCCGTCTACACCGGAGACCAGAAACTATACTCCTGGTCTTGGTGGTGGCAGTGTTTTTGTTGTTTTTCCCCCACCCCCACACCCCAGGAATGAGCAAACTTCTTTTGATTTTAGTTCCATGAGTAGGGCCAGATGGCCCCTCAGACTCCTTGTTCGGATTCCTTCTGACCCTCCTCGCTGTGTGGGGCCAACGTGTGCAGGGAGAGGAGCCTGGGTGAGGCATGTAGGCGTGTCTCCTCCTCGAGGGCAAGGGACGAGTGGACCAGAAACTAGTGAACCAGGGAAACAGCAACAGGAAGCAGGCGGGGGTCCCCAGGGCCAGTGGCCAGCAGCCTGGAATGCGGGAGAGTCACCAGAGGACTGAGTGCCCTCTGTCGGAGGACAGGCCATCCGGACAGTGAGGACGAGGTGAGGCAAGGCAGGGGACAGGCACCTGGTGGCCTGGTCCCGGTCCCTGTCTCAGCTGCCTGCCATCGGTCTTCAGCCGATGTGTTGTAGGGAGTCTGGCTCCACATGTGCAGGTGGAGAAGCCAGAAGGGGAGGAGGCAGCAGAGGTGTGAGGTTAGGACCGTCCTGTCATCCATCCCATCTTCAGTGTACAGCCGTTTTCTATAGACTGTGTTCCCTGGCCCCACAGGCATGGTGGACTCATCGATGATGCCCATCATGGGCTACCTGGTGGACCTGCGGCACGTGTCCGTCTACGGGAGCGTGTACGCCATTGCAGACGTGGCCTTCTGTATGGGATACGCTTTAGGTAAGGTGTCGGCCTGACACAACCACCTTTTATCTCGGCACGACAGAGAGCGCCTGCTGAGAACCACCTAAACCAGGGGTCCTCAAACTACGGCCCGCGGGTCACATGCAAATACAAATATTGTATTTGTTCCCGTTTTGTTTTTTTACTTCAAAATAAGATATGTGCAGTGTGCACAGGAATTTGTTCATAGTTTTTTTTTAAACTATAGTCCGGCCCTCCAACGGTCTGAGGGACAGTGAACTGGCCCCCTGTTTAAAAAGTTTGAGGACCCCTGACCTAAACCTTTGCGTCTTTCCGTGGGCAAGGTGCCTGCGGGAGCTTTATCTAATTCTCTGTTTCCCGAAGGTCCTTCTGCTGGCGGGGCTATCGCGAAGGCAATTGGATTTCCGTGGCTCATGAGAATTATTGGAATAATTAATATTCTTTTTGCTCCTCTCTGCTTTTTTCTTCGAAGTCCACCTGCCAAGGAAGAAAAAATGGTGAGAACATTTTAGGATGCGTTGAAGTGTTTCTTGATCATTGTAGCATGGTCTTTTGGATAGCGTTTCTTTTTCCTTTGGAGACGTTAGGTTTTATTTTTAATTTTTAATATACTTTTTATTGTTGATAGTGTTATAGATGTTTTTCATTTTCTTCCCCTTTACCCCCCTCCTTCCAGCCCCTGCCCCCCTCCCCCAGGTCTTCACCCCGCTATTGCCCGAGTCTGTGGGCTATTCCTATAAGTATATAAGTTCTTTGGTTTCTCTCTTCTCGTCCCCCCACCCACACATTGAGGTATGTGTCTTAATTGTAAAATATGTTCCTGCTCCTTTTGGGGAGAACTCTCCAAACATTCATGGTAAGAGTTCCTTTTTAGTTGATACCACATCGGACAAGCTACTTCTGTTACTATATCAAGCATTATGTTTATACATTTGTAGAGTAAAATTATTTTTGTACATAGATTAGCAGTCGGTAAGCTCTTTTGTCAATGAAATAAAAACATGGGATAATTCTCTGTTGCTTGAACATCTTGAAAATGTGGACATCAGCCTGGGCACGCCCTGCACTTACTCCTAAGATCAGCCGTTTCTGGTGCCGTTTGCCTTTCTCCCAGCCCTTGCAGCTTTCAGTAATAGTGACTTGGTCCTCACTGCGGAAGATTCCAGAGGTGGTTCTAGTGTAGGTAACAGGCCCTTAGGGAAAAATATTGTATATGCACCTTTGGGCACACATAAAACCTTGAAATTCATAATTTCATAACCAGAATCATGGCCATAGGCAAGAGAGAATATAAAGTGTTCCTCTTCTGAATATGTTCAGACCTCTCAATTCTAAGTGTGAATTTTGAAGTGCATCATCCATTTAAACCTTTCTGATAAGCATTCACAGCTGGAGGCGGTGGGTGTTGCTGCTTTGTGAAACATCTAATGGTGGTGGATACTCCTCCAGCTAAAAGCAGAGGGCCTTAGATTAGGGATGAATGGGAGAAAGCAGGCAGGGGAGGTGGCATTTGTAGTTCATGAATGGATATGCGGTTCGCTTGCGATGGTTTGCTGGCAGTGCAGCCCAAGTTCTTCCTGATGGTTGAGCTGAAATGGATCTGGATGTTTTGGCTTTTCATGAGCTGCCCTTTTAAGATTTCCCCCAAACGTGGATTTAAAGACAGACGCAGACCCTGAAGTTAGGTGCCATGCAGCCTGTATTAGCTTGGGGCATTTTTTTTTTTGCATTTATCTATCTGTTCAATATATTTGAAAAATATATCCAGCACTATTCCCTTTATTATGTAGAATTTAACTTGGTCATTTAAAAAATATTTTTATTGATTTCAGAGAGGAAGGGAGAGGGAGAGAGAGATAGAAACATCAATGATAAGAGAGAATCATTGATCGGCTGCCTCTTGCATGCCCCACGCTGGAGATCGAGCCCACAACCGACTGTGACCTCCTGGTTCAGTGCCCAACCGTGGAGCCACACTGGCCTGGCTCGCTCCATCCTTTTGAATTACTCATGACCCATTTGGCTCAGAGAGGCATGGACGGTGCTGTGGAAATACGCTGACCGAGGCCCCCCTCTCTCCCTGCCTCTCGCTCAGTCAGCTGCCTCTCCACAGCCGTTACTGTGGGTCTCTCCGGGACTCCCCTGTTTTCCGGCCTGGTTGTGTAGGTTCCCTTTCCATTTTTGTTTAATGGGCCCCAGCACAGTACCTTGCCCAAATCAGGCTCAGGAAATTCTCAGTGCAGCAAGAATTTGATTAACGCTAATCACCGACAAATGCCTCTGTTGCCCGACAGACTGTGTAAGGCTCTTGGGAGAGAGGGAAGGGCTGGCACGGGGCCCTGGAGCAGGACTGTCACCTCATAGGGCTGTTGGGGGGACTAAAGGAAAGAATCTCAGCGGGGCTCAGCCTGTGTCTGGCACCCAGGAAGTGCTCAGTCACTCTTGCTCTTACCCAAACCTCTGACTTCAGCCCCTGTCCCATCCTCCCCCTCTTCCCTCTGTGAGAAGAGCTTCCTTTTGCTGTTCAGACCCCAGAACCTCCGAGCGGTCTCCCTGTGGCGTTATCGTTCGTTGACAGCCTGATGGCTTATCTGGGGGCGGGAGGAAATGGTGAGGTCGGAGGACCAGCGGGGATGCAGTGGGGGTGCTTGCCCAGCCAGCTACCGCTCTGAGAGCCGCTGAATGAAGGCTGCAGGAAATGGAAGAGACAGTCCTGAAAGGCAAAGCAACAAGAATTACAGGCTCCCAGAAGCCACTTCCGCTGTGAAATGTCAGAATCCTTCATCAGTGCCTTAGCGAGATGAACCGTTAAAAACTGGAGAAAAAGTGCATCTTGCTGCCCATCATCGATGCCAGCATCGAAGGCATTGCATTGGATGCCACTTGACTGGCTGGCATGCTGGCAGCAGTGAGAGGCAGCCGGCAATGCTGCCTGCTCACTGTGGAGACCCATCGCTCCTAGGACAAGGGGGACCGAGCCAGGTCAGGTGGGCCTTGGTGGAGAAGGGATTGGTGATCACCCCTTTGAGTGTCAGCAGTCAGGACCCGCAGGTACCGAATGCTGGGGGACGTGAGAGCGGGAATGAGAAATACAAACCGTAGCAAATAATTCGTTCACCAGGCCACATTCCGCTGATGTGCTTGGACCGGCTGTTCTGCAGTGAACGGTCCAGTGCTGTCCTCCCGGGTCCCACGTCAGGCGGTCCTCAGCTGGTGTGTGAGCACTTGAGTTTCTCTTCCATTTGGTTTATTGGATTTCCGTGCGTTTTTTGTTGTTGTTGATTGTTTGTTTTTAATGATCACTGTTGAGTTGGCAATGCAGGTGAAGAGGCAACAACTGTTAACTCAAGTGCCTCAGCAAGATTAAGCAGTAGCACACGATCCTTTGAAGAAGACTGGATTCCAGTTGTAAGACAATTAGCACGCAGCCCGTAGCTCTCAGAACACCCAGTCGGGAACAGCTGCGTTCTGCTGTGGATTTTTCTTTCCGGTTGAAGAATTAGCTTCAAAGACGGGGCATGTTTCTTGCATCCCATGGTTGCCCTGACGGGAAAGCAGGCGGTGTGAGGATTGGAGCTTTCTTTCCCTGAGTGGCTCTGGATTCTCTGCACATTGACTCATCAAGTCCTTCCTGCTGTCTCCTCGATGCCGAGGGGTGGGCAAGGATGGGGCCACCAGAAGCTGAAAAGGCCGGGTGTATTCTGTATGTTATAATCTACTTAAAGACGTGTCCCTGCCCGGCTGGCGTGGCTCCGTGGTTGAGCATCGTCCCATGTACCAAGAGGTCGCTGGTTCCATTCCAGGCCAGGGCTCATGCCCAGGTTGCAGGCTTGGTTCTCAGTAGGGGCCACGCAGAAGGCAGATCGATGTTTCCTCCCATCAGTGTTTCTCTCACCCTCAAACTTCCTCTTTCTAAAATCAATTTTTAAAAAATTTTAAAAAAAGAGATGGCGCCCTAGCCAGTTTGGCTCAGTGGATAGAGTGTTGGCCTGTGAACCAAAGGGCCCTGGGTTCGATTCCGGTCATGAGCACGTACGTCGGTTGCAGGCTCCTCCCCAGTCCGGGCCCTGGTCAGGGCTCCTGCAGGAGACAATCAACTGATGTGTTTCTCTCACATCCATGTTTCTCTCTGTCTTTCCTTCTCTTTTCCACTCTCCCTAAAAATCAATGGAAAAATATCCTCAGGTGAGGATTAAAAAAAGAAAACAGAGGTGGTGGGCTTAAGATTTTGCGGGGTGGGGGGGTTTAAGCCTTCTGTGCGACAAGGACCACCCACAGGGGAGAATGGTCCTGGTGCAGTGTCAGTTACCTTAATTACTTATTTTTAGAAATTGAGCCCTTTCTGAAATACATGATCAATTCACTTGGCAAGAAGCGGAATAAAAAGTGGAGCTAAGTTTGCAGCTGATGGTTGGAGCTGGCAGCCTAACGTAGAGGGCCAAGGAAGTCCTTATCTCAGCAGGTCACACAGGCAGATCATTCTAGAATGCTTGGGAGAAAAGAAGTGGGGTAAGCACAGAGCGAAGTCTGAGAAGCTTATCAAACCTGAGGAATGCTAAGAGAGGCTGCAATGTTTTCATCCACATAAATGTGTCCATTGAGATTTTCAAACTGCACCAAAAGGGATTAGGAGACTAGTTCATGTGGAAGAAACCTCCGGAAGACATACCCTGAGGAGAGAATTCCTTTAGTTGACCCCGCGTCCCCTGCTGTCCTCGCACTCTGATGGATGGCACCGTGGAGCTGCGTGTGAGGCGACTCAGGCTGGAGGCTGTCTGGACTCACATCTGCCCAGTTCCAGCTGTGCATCCCTGTCAGGTTCCTTAGCCTGTGCCACCACGCAGGGCTATCAGCCCACCACACGCGATGCTTGTGAAGTTGAGGTATTCCACTGAACATGCTTCTCGAGGTCCTGGGTGATTCACACATCAGCTGTGTGATCAGACTGAGCTTGGTCTGTACATGTTCAGGAGGAATGATGACTCAAGTGCTGGTCAGTTGCGGATCAGCGGACCGTTTCTTATGTTCACAAGAGAAATGTGTTTGTAAAGAAATTCATACAGTTGAGCAGGAGTTGGGCAGCCAGGAACTGGGGAGAGGTGGTCTGAAGTGGCGTTGATGGAAGATAAGGGCCATGGGTTATGTCTAGGGTGATCTAAGGGGCGGTAGCCATGGTCTTACAACACGGTAAGGGTGATCCGTGAAGACGTGGGAATCAGCACCCGATCCACAGACAATGGAGACAGTCCAGTCCATCCAGGGATGTTTCTAACACGAGAGCTGGCGTCCTCAGGAGAGAGCACGTCCTTACTTAGCGTTGGTGCGTGAAGTCTGCAAACAGGTTGGATTGGGTGACCTCCAGGGGCCACCCCTCCCCCAGTTCCAAGATTCTAAGTACAACTCTTCCTAAACCTCACCTGCACATGCCTTTCGTCAGAGCTCACAGGTTCCCCCGAATCCACTTCACGGCCCTGCAGGTAGAATGAAAACACTGCGGAGACCCCTTCTGGTATATCCTCTTCCCCGAATGTTCACCGAGTGTAGGACTCCAGGGCCAGGCAGCTGCAGTTGCACCAAATGACTGGTGAATAGTGGGTGGATCCATCCATCCATCCATCCATCCATCCATCCATCCATCCATCCATCCATTCATCCATTCACACATACACACACACACACACTTGGTTAAAACCATCTTATCTTTCTGAACAGGAAGTTAATCTATCTGCCCTTTGCTCTCTTTTAGGCTATTCTCATGGATCACAACTGCCCTGTTAAAACAAAAATGTACACTCAGAACAATGTCCAGTCGTATCCGCTAGGTGATGAAGAATCTGAAAGTGACTGAGACCCTCAGAAGTCACCAAAGCATTTCGTCGTGTGAAGCAGTGTTCCCTGTGCAGTGACGCATCCAGAACCATCTTAGTCATCCCACACGTCCCTGGTGAAACAGTAGAACCAAAAGTTACCCTTTCTTTTCCGTGGGTATGGTCGATTGCCAACAGCCTTATAAAGAAAAAGCAGCTTTTCTAGGGGTTTGTATAAAGTGTTGAAAACTTTATTTTATGTATTTGATTTTATTAAATATTATACAATATATTTTGACGAAATAGATATAGTGTAAATCTATAAATATTTGAATCCAAATCAGATATAACTTTTTAACTTACATTCACGAACACTTGGGTCAAAAAAAAACACACCTTATATTTTTTCTGAATATTGGTAATGAGTGTTTAAAACTAAAGTACACGTTATCTCTGAGACACTTCCGACAATAAGACACTAGAAGGAAGTCTGAACAATCAAGTAAGACAGCGAATGGTTATGTAGTGACGCCGAGTGTTGAGTTCTTCAACTTGTAATTATCATCAATATACGTATGAGTTAAAAGCTAGTTGTCTCAAACGCAGAGGACAAGAACTTGAGGCAGTTACCGTTTGGATTTATCTGTAAAACTTAGCTGGCACTAGTTATCTATATGTAACCACCTACCTGGAAACAGCTGGTTGTATGTAAATGATATGTTTACATGTCATGTGGTTGGCAGCAAACATTGAAGCCAATGAGGGGAAAAATAGCAAATGTTCTGAAAGCAGAGAAAAGCATCTAAAATGAACAGTTAATAACAACTAGATGCTTCCCTTTAAGATAGATGATTATCTTACTGGATGAAGGAACATTGAGGGTAGATTACACAACAGTCAAGGTTGTGTAAGCATGGCGAGACTTATCAACATCTAGTCCAAGGTTAGAAAATAAAGGTGAAAGGCTAATAGCTGCTATGACATGAACAAAAAAATCAGACTCTATCATCTTTGACCTGTTTGGAGATCATCCAAGTGTTTAATTTTGAGTTGTCTGTAACTATTCTTTCCTAGACTTCTGAAAGTTGTTCACATCAATGTGAAAAGTTTTAAATGAAGATGAGTGCAATTAGGTCTTGAATCATGTTAGGAAACCAGGTAAAAATAGGGTGGTCTGGACACCCCCCATTTCACAGGCAGGAAAAAAATCAAACATCTGAAAATGTCTCTGTATTAACTGTGTCATCTAGTGCTGTGTGATGTAGTTTCTCTAAGCATGACATTGTCGTGCCTTCCCAACCTAACAGCCAATACTGTGTTAGTGAACACTGTCAGTTTACACCAGGTTTTGTATGATATGATTGCCGTGGTGATCGTGTGGAATGCCTCAGCTACTACTGGTTAATTCTGTAGTTCTGTCATTGTAAATGAAAATCACCTAATGCCAATGGTTTTGTTAAGTTAGAAATTGTTTAACTTGGACGAGGAGGAACTGAGGACTTTAAGAGGACTCTTCAACCTTTCAATTCTCTAGGAAAGTTAGCTGATGCTGACTTCCCATTTGCTTTACGAAGCTTTCCTGTGGGCCTTGGCAGGGTCTGCAGCCGGGCTGTCGGGTGCCGTGAATTGGAAGCACACAGCTTCCCGCTCACCAATTCGCATGGGGCGGCTGATTGGGTGGCTTCTGGAAGGTGCTCCAGAGGCGCGTGCCCATGGCTCGGAGGCAGGTTGTTCTCCACTCCTACTGGGGAGAACCTTCCAAAGGAACGAGCTGCAAATCGGTCCTCTAGCGGGTTCGTGGTCCTCCCAGCCCCAGCACCGTATGTTATTCCTACTTTATTTTTGCCTTTAAGATTCGTCTCTTCAAAAATGACTGGGAAAGGCATGCCTGCTCTTGATCCTTAGGGATGACATAAAAGATACGTGGAGTTTTTTAAAACTGTTTTAGGAGCAAAAGATATCAGTTGTATCTAACAGGAAAAATGGGGAATTGTAGGGTCTTTTATGTGACTGATGTTCTGGGGTGAGCCAAGACTGAAAAGAGACTTTTTTAAAAAAATAATTACGTATGTCAGAACAAAGAACATACAGCTGAGTTTCTGTTTTGAGCAGAGGTGGTTTTATGTGTGTACCTGGCAAACAGATACAAAAACCTTAATGAGGTAGCAATGAATAGTCAGTTCTTTCTTTTGACTGCCAAGTGTACCTGCCTAAGCCATGTTTTAGCTAGTTGACTTAATAAATCTTCTGAACACTACTGTGCCTACTTGTATTCCTTTATAAACCAGACATTATCCTTGGAATCAAATACATAAGGTATTGACTGTTGATATTTAATTAAAAACTGTTCTGCTTGCAGGCATCAGGTAACTTCCTCTCCAGGTTAGTGAACCATACATTTTGGCTTTGAAAAGTGTTTTAAATTGAAATATGTTAACTAGTCACATGTCAGTGTGGAAACATGCAGTAAGTTATCCTTGCATCTAGAAAGTTGTATTATTTTCCTGATTGCTGTGAACCAATATGTTTGATAAGAATAACTAAACTATGTGGCCATTTGATACACTGGGCCTGTGGCCCCAAGTCCTGTAAGACTTACGGTGAGCATGTGTATCTTTTAGGGGCAAGAGTCTAGTTTTAATCAGCTGTTTAGGGGATCCATGGCTTAAAAAGGATTGAGGGACCACCCCATTTTTTAAAAGAAAGCCAATACATTTTAAAAGTGATTTTAAATTTATCTACTTTTAGGGAACTTGATTTTATTATCTTACTATTAATAAAAGCCAAGTATTTTCAAATTGTCTGTCAAAAAATTCAGATTTAAATTTTGAACCTGACAGTACCCTCAAATATTAAGCTGTTTTCTTTTCTCAAAAGTCACAAGTGGCCACATAGTATTCAACTAGTTCTGATATTGAAGAATGTAGGTCTTGACATTAAGGAATGTAGCATATTAATTCTGATTCCAAAACAGTGCTAAAAGGTTGCTCAACTTGAGGGTCTAAATGTCTAGCCCAATCATTTAATACCAACGTAAAAAATACACGTTCACTACTCCAATTACTAATAGGGAGCAAAGGCAAATCCATAAATAAAACAAGAGTAAACCCAAAAGTTAATGCTTTTAGGCAGTTTTCAAAATAGTAATTTTGTTTAGCACAAATGGACTGTTGAGCTTGTGTGGCCAGATTATACCAGGCTGTAATTCCAGAGAGAGGCAGCAGTCACCTTTTCAGATGCCATCAAATGAAGATATTCTTTTTCCCGTGGTGGTTTTGCTTTCTTTATTATCTGTTAGCTATTGATAACATAGCATGGCAGCGACATTACATCAGGAATTTAATATAATACAACTGTTTTCATTGAGACCTTATACCTCACTCTCCCCTGGGCAATTTGGGGTGTTCCCGTTGCATGAGTGCAACTGTGATGCCCCTACTGCTCCTCCCACTATATATATATAATAAAATATTGCACTATGTTAAAGGTATTATTTTACAAATATCATGAGCAGCATTACTGAGCTTTCCATAACTGTGGTTCTACAGAGTTAAGTATTTTAAAGCATGAGTAGATTTTTATGAAACCAAAGTTTTGCATTACTTCTACAGCCCTTTCAAATGCACCCATTTCAGCAGCATGCTTGGATGTCACCGAAACTTCTGTGGTACGACCCTTAAGCACCAGCCACTTGCAGACACTCCACCTCCCAGGTTATGGATGGTAAGTTATTTTTCATACGATGGAAGTTGGTTATTATATTGGGCAGATTGTTTCAAGCATATGTTACAGATTAACATTTTAGCTTCCAGAGAATTTTGTGTATAAAGACTTCTATAGCAGTGTTCTTTCCAAATGCAAGCATGCTTAAATAAACAAAGGGGGGTATACGCAGCTATATTTTTGTTATTAACTTGGCCAAGAAAGCATTTTCCCCTAATATTTCACTTAATAGCAGAAATGAGAATTGGCTATTGATTTTTAAAGAAGTAACTTTCCTTCCTTCAGTAATGTTTTTATAGCCCATATACATCCTACCTGTTATTTGAATGGCTTTTTACCGTGCAGAGCACTTAGTTATGCTATTGTTTCCCTCACAATCCTGTGAGGTAGACTAAATCTAGTTTATTCCTACTTTAGAGCTGGAGAAACTGAGACACAGGGCTCTTTTGTGGCTTGCCGATGGTCATACAGTTCATTCATGGCCAATGGAAGAGCTTGATCTTAAACTCTTATATGGTGTCCTGGACTATAGATGTGGGCCAGAATCCATATTAAAATGCTTTTTTTCTGCCAGCCATACAAGCCATCCCATCTAGTTCTAAATTCATGTCAGTTTTACTACATATCATTATAGTAGTTACCTACAAAAGGGAAAATTATGCATAGATGTATCTTTTTATAGGCAAATAAAAGGCCAAAACTTTTATGGAATACCAACAGGGGTCCTGCTCACGGTTTCCCTCAGCCATGTGTTACAGAGATCCACACGATGGACCAAGTATGAGAGTAGATCTTCCTTTTCAGAGAACTAGTCCCAATTCCTATGTATGTATACTGTCTATTTTTATTTAATTTTCTTTCTTTTTTTTTTTTAATGAATGAAGATAGTCTGAATTACAGAAGCATTCAGAATGATCACCATTCCTTTAAGCCTGCAGGATGTCAGACAAAGGAGTAAATCTATTTTGCATGATTCTTCTCCTTCACAACATTGTCCTGCATTAAAAAAAAAAGTTTCTAAAAAACAGCCAAACCAGTTATCAACACGGTCATTTTAAGAACAGTCCTCTGAAACTTTAAATATCCTTGCACATGCTTTATTTCCTATGGGAGAACTGGAGATGAAAATTAATCATAAATGATTAGAACTTCCATTTAAAAGGAAAGCAACATTTTGAAAAATTATATTTCAAAATCATAGTTGCTGTTTTTTAATAATCCTGTTCTCTACAAAATTCTTTACCAACTGCGTTCTATATTTACTCTTTGTTACATTTTGTTTGCAGTGCAAGCTCTTCAAATCAATCACTATATTCTCACTCTACTTCAACTGCACAAAAGCTTTAGAAAAAAATTTCACAGAGGCATAGGAAGCAAGCAATATATGTAAAAGGTTTTTGTTTTTTTTTTACTAAATCAGCATAACTGACTAAAGCCATAGTGTCTGCTTTCGTGTTACATTTGGCAAAAACAAAAAGCACCCCCCAGGACCCCAAAATAATAAAAATCTCAAGTAGGATGACAAACTTCATAACACAAAGATTCAAAAACTGTTCCCTCAATGATTGCTGCTGTCAATTTGGGCATGCAACAATCTGTTATAACCGTGATAGAAATAAAAACATTACAAGAATCTGGACAGTATCCAATTTAACACTAATTCAAAAAAGAGAAAGAAAAATAGCACAACGAGACAACATACATAAACATGAAAAGTCAGCTTACATAA